GTAGCATATGTCCGTGTGACATTATCAGTCCATCCCACCCACCAAGCTGGGGCTCAATCTGGTGGCAACCCATCTTAAAAGTCCTTTGAAGTGTTCTTTTTTGTGCTGAGGATTTGTCCTTCCATTTTACCTGCCACCATTGTGAAAGCTCGGCTGGCAACGCAGAAAGAGGCCATTGACTAAGAGAGGTTTGGAAAAGGAGTGCAGTTGTTCGACCGAAAATGCGGAAAACACTGCTGACTACCTAAAACTGTCGCTTCAAGTGTTCTTTGCCACTTACCCCATCGCAACAAACACCGAAATTTAGATTTTATTGGTCGAGGTCCGGACTCCGCAAAGCCGTAACGAACGAACGAAGGAAGCAGTTACCCACCAGAGGGCGGTTGTGCTTTCCGTTTCTGGCGCATAGCTAAGCATGATCGTCGATGCTATGACACCTCCTTCTTCAAACTTTCGACCGCTTCTGCAGTGAGCTTGACATTGCACACAACTTCTTCCAGTTCCGTCTTCGGACCTCAATTTTCTTCCCTTTCCAGCTACAGTCAGGGTCTTTGCCAGCGACAACTTGTCAAAATACAGCCAGCCACTTTGGGTTCCTACGATGGATCGCTCGGGCTCGGATCTCTTCCTCAACATCCACTTCGGGATTGGAAGCTAGGCCATGTCGTACTGGTTGCTTCTAGAATCTCTAGTCACTTTGACCAAAAAGGCCATATTCTTCAAGCATGGCGCCGCGTGGAGCAATTGGGAAGCGGTTCTTCCGGACATGTGTGGAAAGAAAAGGGGTTTGAAGGGCCTACGCTCAACCGCGTACGTGTCGTCAAGCAGCTTTACAAGGACCGACCCGACTACATTCACTCCTCACGCCGTGAGCTTTTTGCCCTGGCCTCTTTCTCCAAGAAGACTGCACCAGAGGTACATATCATCCAGGTGGCCTTGGAAATCCATCCTCGTATTCCAAGATGGAGGCTTGCTGACCAAGAACGGTATCCACTCATCAGCATCGCAAACTATTTGCCCAGCTTGTCAACTGGTACGAGGACCCTGAGTGCTCGTTATTGACAATGGAGCATGTCGAGCATGGTAATCTTCAACGGTACATTGAGATAGGCGCCAAGTTTCCAGATAGACAGGCGCCCTTGATTACGGGCCAGATTGCCAGTGCTTTACAGTACATGCATGTTAAAGGGTTTGTACACAGAAATCTGAGGCCCTCGGTAAGTTGCCGATACTCGAGTCCCTCAACCAAGTCTATGGCGAGCACTGACCGTTTGAAAACTCCAATATCAAGAACATCCTTGTCGCTGTTGAAGGGCCCGCATGGAGCGTCAAGCTTGCTGATTTCGGAATTCCCGCCAATGTTGACGATCCCTGGCCCCCCAAGAACTACATCCGTACGAGCGGCTACACGGCTCTAGAAATTGTTGACTCGTTACAGTAGTACACTACTGCTGTTGACATATGGGCTTTGGGGGCTATCGTCTTCTGTCTGTTGGTAGGCAAACCGCCCTTCCACAAGCTGGACGACATGCTGGAATATTGCGCCGGAATCAGGAAGTTCCCTACCTCGCCGCTCAGGGCCTCAACAAGACTCTCAATTGACTTCATCCTGAGGGCGATGAACCCGGTTCCGGACAAAAGGATGTCAATACTACAAGTTTTGAACCATGAATGGCTTCGCGTCAATGATTCCGCACAAGATGCGGATGGCCGGTACGTACGAGTTTGAAGTGATTTGGCTTACCAGTTCGAGAACATAGCTGAGACTTGATACAGATGTTGGCGATGTACGACCCAAAAGTCACTCGACAATGTGCGCTGGAAAATGTCAACTGCGTCCATGCTACACAACCGCGTAGGAAAGCCCAGCAAGCTCTCCCATTCGCTAAAAAAAAGATTATTATTGGAAATAGAAGTTTTACTAAATCAGGCGTTATTCTTTCGTCTTTTTCCTAAAAAACCAACTTCGTAACAGCTAACACCAAAAGAAAAGGGACCAAATCATTCAATTTATTTTGCGATTTCATTTTATGATAACTCTCAATCCTAATATTCAATAGAGTGGAATGTCATAGCGCTGTTGTTATCTGTACTTCAAAGTCGAAATTTAATCAAATGCAATGCCTCTTTTCTCTTTTTTTTCTCTATTCAAATAAATAGAAGTTTTTTGCTTTTCAGTCTTTTTGGTTAAAGCAGACTCTTTTACGTTTATGACCTCCATACGTGTAACAAGGGCAGAGTTCTGGGCTTGGAACAAAGAGTTCAATTCAGCTGATAAACTACTTTGGTCTCGAAGGCCTTGTTGATCCTTTCAACCTCCATGAGAAGGTTGGTACGTACCGAGCCCTGTGTGCCAAGCATCGGCGCGAGTCTATCTAGTTCATCTGCCTACAAGTAGATCTTCTGAATGCCAGCCTTCGTCCAGTTGCCCGTCGGTAATTCCGGTCGGTGGTTTAATTGATGAAAGTCGCCGGCGAATGTCCGTGTGGCATTCTGTCGGTAATTCCGGTCGGCAGTTTGACTGATGAATGTCACCGGCGAATGTCCGTGTGACAATACGCAACGGGTGCACGAAAAAGACTGTTACAAGATGTTTTTCTCACCAGGTACTTATGGGAACCTGTTTTCAGACGCCCATTTCCCTGCATAGCAGGTTGTTCTGTTAGAAGAGGGTGTGGTTTATAGTATCTTATATTTCTAGAAGCACTAACAGCTGGATGAGTGGATATGGTGGTATATTGTTAGTATTACTGTTACTGTAATTACAGCTTGTTTGTTACACCATCTGCGGAACAGCGAACTGCTTGGGCAATGAGCAGCCATTTGCAAGAGCACTCCTTCTATTTCTTGTTAATTGTTACTAACCTAAGCTTCTTGTTTTTTTGGTCGAAAACTGAAGCTTTCAAAGGCCCGTTAACTTCTGATGATTCCACTCAAGCCCTGATCCTTGCTGAAAATTACAGGCCTGTACCGAACGTATGCATGGGCGTCATGGAACTGTGCGTCAAGTCCTCTTGCTGTCAGAAAGGCACGCCGCACAGCAAAGTGGATTGATTTAATACGGATAAATCTGTGTATTGTGGTGCTCTGTGGAGGAGGAGGTCCGGTCTGTGGAACCCGAGTTGGGGGTGGCCAGAGTATTAGGGAGTCTACAGAGCTTTTCTGGGTGACTGGGGAGGCTAGTCCTCTTTCAGAGCCACCTGCAGACGCTGAACGGAATGGTCAAACCTCGGAAGCGGTTTATGAGATCGCTTAAGGTCCTATCCATCGTTTGGACAGAAGGAATGAGGTTAAAGGTCTGTTAATTCCCTCTGTGTTTCTCAGACTTTGCTCCATGTCACAGCGGCGGTAGAGCCAAGGAAAAGCGAACAAAAGTGGGCGAGTCACGTCAGTTGAAACGCGACTTCAACCCCCACGATTTCTTTCCCTCCCCAACAAGTGCAGATGTACGCCAGCAACAACCATAAAAAAAGTCCCGAAGAAACCATGGAGAAGTTCTTAGAAACCTCTTTGCCCGGTTGGAAGCTGGGGCTTAAGACAACAACACGCGCGGAACCCCAGGCTGAATGGGATGGCATGGACAACCTGCAATGCCATGACACTTGGGGACTGAATGACGACTGGCGCACCTTGGAGCGGTTGGGAAGCGGTTGCACTCTTGGGGACGTCTTCCAGCAAGGATGCGACAATAGGAAAGCTCGTCGCAAACTTCGCGCGGTCAAAAGATTCAACAAGGCTCACACAGAACACTTCCCCGAGTCGTCGTACGGGGAACTCAAGGCACTTGCCACGTTTTCCGTTCAGAAGATACCTCGACAGAACCGGTCCAAAGTGAGTAGTAGACTACTGTTTCTACCCAGGCTCACGGCAATAAATTTCACTTCATTGGAAAAGAGAACATAGCTGATCATAGTCTCCAGATTCATAGCAAGTATGAGCAACGCTTTGTCCAGTTTCACTGTTGGTATGAAGATACCAACTATCTTTATTTCGCCATGGAGTTTATGGAGCTCGGCAATCTCCAGCAGTTTATCGATAAGAGGGCGCCTTTCGACGAAGAGGAAGCAGCCAGAATTATTAAACAGGTTGCCGAAGCATTGCAATTCATGCACACCAACGATTTCATCCACAGGGATCTAAAGCCTACGGTGAACAAAGACATTTCGCCAGGTAAAGTGTACTAGGTACTCAACGCTAACGCATCTCTCAACCACAGAATATCCTCGTTGCGAAGGCCTGGCCAGCATGGCATGTGAAAGTTGCCGATTTTGGAATCGCCCCAGATCTCCGCCGTGACACTTTACGTGCGGTTTACTGTACCTACGGGTACATAGCCCCAGAGATGCTCGACTCAGCGGCACTTCTCACGGCGGCAATCGATGTATGGTCACTTGGGGCTGTGGCCTTTTGTCTACGGACCGGTCATCCTCCATTTTCCCATCCTGATGACTTGCGACATTATCACGCGGACCAAAAGGACTTTCCGAGTCGTGTGCTAGGCATATCGACGGGCTTCTGCATCGATTTCATCCTGGCCGCTATGCGTCCGCTCCCCGAAACGAGGTTGAACATCCAGCAAATCTTAAACCACGAGTGGCTTCAGATGCGACAAACGCTCAACAATTTGACGGCTTCGTAGGTTTTGAGCCGCTTACCTTTTCTCAATATACCTTAACCGACTTGAAAATGAACTCAGTCTAACTTTTTGTAGGGGTCTACTCGGCAAGTCGCTTCCAACATTGAGTACGGTGAATAGACCAGCCACAGCAGCGCCTACCAGCACGGTAAACAAACCAACAGCAGCAGCACCCACCGGCAGTTCGCCCACACACAATACACAAACCAACACCTCCCGAACATACTGTACAACATGCAACCTACCAAAACCAGCGGATAATCTGGTAGTGGAGGCGGCAGATGAGAGGATGGCGGGGCAGGATACGGTGTCTGTGAACCAAGAGCAGCAAAGAGTGGTAGAGGAGGCAAAGCAGAGAGAACAACAGCCGCTGCCCGCTGATTCGATAAACAAGAAAGCGCCAGAGGGGCAAAACAAGCGACAAATGGAGTTGTCATTTTTCTGGAGCAAAAACGAGGAGGAGGAGTTGAGGAGACAGGAGGAGTTGAGGAGACAGGAGGAGTTGAGGAGACAGGAGGAGTTGAGGAGACAGGAGGAGTTGAGGAGACAGGAGGGGTTGAAGAGACAAGAGGAGCTAAGACAAAGACAGGTGATAGTCAAGAGGGAGGAAGAGGCGGAAGAACTTGAGCGTGGGAGACAAGCCTTGAGTCGGCAAGAGCTCGAGCGGGAACGGCAGAAAATAGAAGATGAAGAACTGAAGCGGCAGCAAGAGCTGAGACGAAGACAGGAGATCATCGAGAGGGAGGAAGAGGTGGAAGAACTAGAGCGTGGAAGACGAGAAGCGTTAAATCGGCTAGAGATCGAACGGGAACAAATGAGAAGGGAAGAGGAGGAATTGAAACGGCAGGAAGAACTGAGACGAAGGCAGGAGATAGTCAAGAGGGAGGAAGAGACCGAGGAATTAGAACGACAAGCGTTATATCGCCAACCAGAGCACGAGCGGGAGCAAACGCAAAAGGAGCTCGTCCACGTAAGAGTGCAGCAAGGGCTTTTGCAGCAGCAACCTCAACAGCAGCAGCAGCAACAACAACAACGACAACAACATCAGCGAACAAAACGTCAACTAAAACGGCAACGAGAACGTCAACGAAAACGGCAAAAAATGCAGCAACAGGGAAGGGAAGACCAAGCGTTAGAAGAATCGGAACCCGAAGAGGCAACGGAACAACATCAAGAGCATGAACAAGAACAAGAACAAGAGCAAGAGGACGAGGCGCAGAGGATCGAACCCATTAAGAAGGATGTCGTCATACATAAATGCTGGACGTGCCACTCGGTATTCCAGACTCATCAGGAGTTGTGGTCCCACATACATGCGTCTCTGCATAGATATCCCACGTATCTGGAGCAGCTTTACGGGTATAGATTTGTTTGGTAAGGCTGCACAGTTTTCATTGCTGGGTAACGAGCGGCTCGAGCGTAGGAGAATGAGTCTCGGGAGGGAAGGGAAGAGAGGAGAACGCCGGAATTTGGCAGTTTAACTGAGGTTCATAATCAAGACGCACGTCGAATGGGGTTGGGAATATCACGGATCTAGATGAGCGCTTCAAGAACCCCTGGGGCATCCTTCGAACAAACAAAAGAGGAACATCTCATCACCATATAAGTTGAACATTATCACTGTCGCCAGTGAACGAACAGAATGTGATATGCTTGCAACGTTCACCAAGCCGCAGGCACAACAGTGATGTTTAAAGTTACTTCCGCCTATGGGACCGGAACATCGTGGGGCACAACGAGTTTGTAGGATTGAAAAATATGCCACCAGTTGAGCTCTAAAACCGACATGGATATCTCTCGAGGGCCTGCTTGGCTTCTTTGCAACTTCTCGTGAGCTTCAAGGAGGGCTTGTTCCTCGGCTGAATGCACCAAAATCACGATGGCTGCATAACTGCAAGCCCTCCGGGCGCGGGCTTGTGGCATTTGGAAGATGCTCTCCACCCCAAGCTTCCACCTGCAGTTAGAGTGTCTTGCTAGGCCTGGCACGCCTGTTTCTCTTTAATTGAAAACGTTGCCAACCAAGCAGTTTCCTCATCATTGCTCTCCTTCATCTGGGGCTGCCCTCTTCCCTAACAATATTTTTTTGGTGTTTCTTGGCTGGCCTGGTTTTCCTTTCTCCTTTTCTTTTACCACTGCGAGACCTATTCCATTTCTCGATCGTCACCTTCCACATATGCCCATCTCTCGAAAGCAAACAGAACATTATTTGGGAAGTTCCTGCTTTTGATTATTTACGTCGCTTCTGGAAGGCGCCAAAAAAAGAAGGAAAAAACAGTCGCGGTTGAATCGCGTTAGAGTCGGGCTAACAGCGACCGCGCGGCCCCATATCTTCCATCTTCAACTCGGCAAACACCAACTTTCATCGGCAAGAGCGAAGAAGGAGAACAACCCTCCATGAACCATGGAGAGCTTTTCAGAGACCCCTTTGAAGGATTGGAGGATCGGGAGTGCTTCCGATAAACACTACACAAATGTTCGTATCCATACATTTCCAGGGGGCATTGTTGAACACTGGGCTCCCACCCACCCTTTGGGAGCGGGTGCATTCGGAGAGGTCTGGAGAAAAAAGTGCGAACGCGGCCCCAATAAAGGTAAACGGCGCGCCGTCAAGGAAATTCGCAAAGCCCACGCGGGTTTCCTTAAGTCTTCGTAGCGGGAGCTCCAAGCCCTCGCTACTTTCTCGGCGAAGAACAATCTCAGGGTGAGTTGATGGCCTACAAGATCATAGTCTCCAACATCATTCAGCGGGAGAGACGACCGATGGTTACTGACCAAGTGAGGACATTTTACCTACGCCGTGGCCAGTATCAAGAATACTTCGTCCAATTTCTCGGCTGGTTCGAACACCCCGAATATCTGTACATTGCCATGGTTATTATGCCACATGACGATCTCCAGCAATACATAGATGACAAAGCACCTTTCCCGGAATCAAAGTTATCTATAATCGCGAAACAATTCGCGACGGGCTTACGTTTTATGCACCAAAAAGGTTTCCTTCATAGAGACCTCAAACCCCTGGTAGGTCTACAGTCCACATGTCATCACCGTCACACACCAACTTGGTAGCCATGCGTAAACTTCTCACAACTAACGCCCTATAAAATCCAAGAATATCCTCGTCGATACGCCGGGCCCGGAATGGAAGGTCAAGCTTGCGGATTTTGGGATTGCCAGGAACATTGTCGGCCCTACTTTATCCACCCACTACATTGGTACCTACGGCTACATCGCTCCCGAGTTATTCGAATCATCGGATGCGTATACGACCTCGGTCGACATCTGGGCGCTCGGCGCCATCGTGTTTTGCATGTGCACCGGCGCTCCGCCCTTTGAGCAACCAAAGTATCTTGAGTATCGCGCCGGTAGGATATCCTTCCCATCTCAAGTGTTGGGTCTCCAAACCGGATTCTGCGTCGACTTTATCCTGGGGACCATGCTTGCAAACCCGCAGCAAAGGTTGGAGATAGACGACGTCATGGAACACGAGTGGCTCAGCTTGAACAGAACTGTTCGTACTATGATGAGTGACCCATAAGTCATCAGCCTCTCTTTCCAGTTGCCCCCAAACATTTCTCGAGAGGGCAAATTGATCCTAATTACGGGGGCGCAGAATTACGAAGCATAAATTACTCCGCTCATTAATGGGACACTTCGAACCTCAAGCAAGCGGCTCTTGACAATTCTGCGTTGGCGAAAAAGCTAGGACCTATTGATTCCAATAAGCTAGGACCCGTCGACTCCTGGTTGACCTGCCTCGGATGCGGACAATCTTTCGTCACACAAAAAGATCTCTTCGACCACCTCGCCAACTACCCCAATCACAATCGAGATTCCACGCCCGAAGGGCACACGATTGGTGGCAATTGGTTTGATCCCTTTGTCGGGGTACCGTCTGACAGCCAAGGGATCTTCAAAAGGACTTGCATGTATTGTCATACCAGATTTGACAACCGCAATCAGCTATTTGAGCACCTTGAGAAGTCCGGACACGCTCTGGACCTGACGAACCCACGCAATGATGATGGAACGGAGTACAGGCGGCCGGAGGAGAGCAGGATGCGGGATAAAGGCTTCAAATGGAGGAAACTGGAGGAAGAGAGACAAGAGCATCTACTTCGCTTGCAAAAGCAGCATGAGCAGTGGCAGGCGCCACAACTCGGTGCCTTTGAACTAGCGAGGGAGCTTCAACGTTTGCAAAAAGAGAAGGAAGAGGAGGAGGAGAAGAAGCGTCAAAGATCTGAAGAGGAGATGCGCCAAAAGAAGGAGGAGGCACTTAAAGCATTGCAAAAACACCAGCAAGAGGTAGAGTTGGAAAAGGAGCAAGAGGAATTCATGCTCAAACAACAGGAGAAACAGAAACGGCAGCGGGAGTTGGACGAGGGGGAGGAGGCAAAACAACGTCAGGCCAAGCAACCCAAGAGAGACACTGGCCTTGTTTGCAGGACATGCGCCCGCGGTTTCGATACCCGTAGCCAGCTGCATAGACACTTGGGTAAGACCAGACACAGGTATCCGGCGGATTTAGTTCCGAGATACGTAGAGTCGGAATGACTGGACAGGCGAGGCTCATGTGTTGGAATACACCAAGAAGAGCACAGAAGGCGATTTTACAGCAACAACAACAGCAGCAAAAGGGAGAAACGGGCAGGAGAAAGGTTGAAAGACGGGATAGAAATAAAACAAGAACAAGCCCACGCCGGGTAATTTACCCGAAGTCCTAAGGAGCTGTTGCATACATGACAGGCGGACATGCTTCGCTCGTGAGTGAAACGATACGAGGTGACTGTTTACCTCAAGTGGATGGAAAACCGGATACCGTACCTCTTTAACGCCTCCCCCCTTACCACCTCACCTTTTGCCAAGAGAACTCAATGTTTCTCCACATCTTTTGCTATCCAACCTGGCAGCCACGATTCAGATCGATACCTACCTCTTGTTCAGCATGAGACAGGACCACTTACGGGTGCTTGATCTTGTTATATCATGAGGTGCCTGCTGCCACGAGGGTTTTCTAGCCCTTGGTCATATGTCTCTATTCAGCAATGTATGTGTAGAGCTAGGTAAGTGTCTGTAGGGCTGGATGGGTGTAACACCCACTCGTCCGTCCACATGCCCGCCCGGTTGACGCACCTTGGGACGCAGGAACGCAGTAACGCAGGAACACAAGAAAGAACCCCTACTTACTTTCACGACTCGGAGCTAGCTAGCATTGTACTCAGGTCCCCAGACGTGCTGCTGTGCTAAGCTAGCGGAGGCGTAACGGTCGATAGGTATTTCGATACGATGTCCCTGGCAGACTGCATAGGTAGAGGTAGAAATCCGGGGTAAGCTCCCTCGCGCCACTACCTAGCAGTCCTAGCACCTACGGAGCTCCCAGCTGGCTGCCTCCTCGTCTCTATGCCAACCAGTCATTGAAGGCGAGCTTTAGTCTAGGCCAGAGTAACGATCTGGGTAGTATATGTAGTAACAAGGGAGTTAGCTCTGGGGGTGCGTTTACTAACTTCCATCCCCTTCCTTAGCTTTTCTCTCCTGGACATCTCGTGTAACTCACTCAGCCTTGGACTTTGGATCTTGGACCTTGGAGGTACGTTGTAACTCGTGCGGTCTCAGCCAATCCTGGTGTAGGTAGGCCGGAGACAAGTCCAAAAGGGGTAAACAGCTACCTGTGCTCCTTCTAACTAACTGAGCTACCTTCTCCCACTCCCAGCGAGTGAACGCTACCGACCCAGCAGCCTGGTACCACTAATTCAGGTCCAGGTCCCGCAGGTTCCTGTCCCGTCCGTAAGGTGATGCACAGGGACATACAGTACCTATGTATGTGGTGTACATAGGGTAGTGGAAACAATACCTAGCCAACCGGGAAGAGCGGAACCAGCGGATGCGGTGCCGTGGCTGAGAAGGAAGGAAGGGACACAAGGACCCTTGACGAACGCCCTATCAAAACGGCGCAGCGGCGTCTCCTTCTAGAAGGAACACCGAAGGGACGGCCATGGGGATGACCAGGGCCCAGGGGAATGGATGTAAGCTGTAAGCTGGGGTAGAAATTTGGGGTTCGGATGGGGTTGAGGCTGGGACTAGGAATGGGACTGGCACTTGATTGCGCGCTCGCGCGCCATAGGGCGTCAGTATGTGTCTATACGGCGTTTATACGGCGTTAGGAAAATGAAAGAAGGGAGAGATTGGGGGCTAGGGTTAAGGCTGGCTGGCACGGGTTTGGCGCGGATGGCACAGTTTCTTGGTTCTTGTGTATCGTGGGTTTGTGGCACTTGAGTAGTGGTAGGTCTTTAGATGCGGAGAAGATGGGAGGTGTCACTGTTCTGCCGTGTTGTTTTCAGGTGGTGATGTCCTCTGCCTCCTGACAACAGCCGATAGACG